TGAAGCTGAAACTCCATTACTTTGGCCACCTGATGTGAAGAACTGACTCAGTGGAAAAGACCCTGATGCTGAGAAAGATTGAAGGCAGGAGGAGAAGGGGATGACAGAGGATGAGATGGTTGGATTCCATCACTGACTCAATGGACATGAGTTTGAGTAAACTCCAGGAGTGATAGACAGGAAGGCCTGGCATGCTGCAGTCCATGGGGTTGCAAAGAGCTGGACACCACTGAGCAACTGAACTGAACTGATATATACATATATATATATATATATATATATATATATATATAAGCATCAGGGAATATTTGTTTAAACATTATATTTACTGTTTGAACCAACTGAGTTTGAGATGGCAAAAATAACACTAACTGCTACTAAATGCCAACATTAGACATCATCCAAATCAGTCTTCATAGCAACTCTTTGCAGTGATTATTTTTATCCCTAATTTATAGGTGATTATTTCTATCCCTACTTATTTAAAGTAGTCTCAAAGAGGTTAAGTTACTTGTCCAAGGACACACAGCTATTAAGAGAGAATGTAAGACACTGGACTTGGATTTTTCTCTCTCCAAACCTGTTATTCAAAATTTTATGTTGAGGTAAAATATTTATTGTGGGTTCATAAGAGAAAGAGCATGCAATCTGTGAGGTGAGGGTCTTGAGGGGTAGAGAACCTGGTGTGCCAGTCAGCCGGGGTGGGGGGGGGGCAGAGCAGGCCCCCGCGTTGGCGTTCTCCCTGACTGAATTTAGTCTGCAGCCGTGACACTTCTGTCAGAGCCTCTCAGGAAGGGCGTTGCTAGGCTGAGTCTCCACTTCCACTATGTCAGGTTTTAAGCCCCCCGTAACACATCTTGCCTTCATTTGCATGTTGCTAAGTCGTGCTCATGACTTAGATTCTTCAGTGCGTCTGCAGTGAATTAAAGGAAGACCAGATAGCAGCACAAAGTGCTGAGCGAAACTCTTTTGAAACTCAAAAACAGTTTCTGGCAACAGAAACCACCCTCACATTTTTTAAATTCTTATTTTACCTTATTTGGAGATATAAGAGGGACTCTGGAAACCCCTTCAACCAGAACTTAATGTTAGTAAACCTTTGTTGAGATAAAAGAAAATGTCCTTCTATCCCAAAGATGCTGAATACAGGTCACATCAATAACTATGGTTTCCATTTTCTGGCTAGGTCAAGCAGAATTTCCCACTATTTTTTCAATTAGGAAAAGTAGTATCTCAGATAACAGGAAGGGCTTTTGTAACAACCTAGTAAAGACAGAGAGCTAAGTTGTGTCCGATTCTTGCGGCCCTATGGACTGTAGCCTGCCAGGTTCCTCTGTCCATGGAATTCTCCAGGCAAGAATACTGGAGTGGGATGCCATTTCCTTCTCCAAACAATCTAGCAAACTTGGAGTTAATTTTATTGGCAGATTTGTGTTGGACTGGAGGCCCATCTCACACCAGTCTCAGGAGAAGGAACTATAGAGAAGAAAACCTGTCCCATTCTCTTGTTTCTGGGATGTGTGTTCAATTTTAGGTTTCCCACTGAGAGATGTGTGGGACCAGTGATCCTGGGAAGCAAACAAGTCTGAGTCAGAGCTTGTACTAAATAACTGAAGCAACGCTTCTCCCCATCTTCAGCTTTCGTCGCTTCACTCTCTGTCACCAATTTTAGGCAGGGTGGGGAGGAGAGGGGGGACCAGACGCCCCTCAGCTTGTACATAGCTGCACTGTTCAGAACCTTCAGGAATAAGCAGATTTGGAGACACAACCCCAATTTGCAATCGTTCGGTTCAACCTAGAACCACAGTTTTAGTACAGCTTATTTTTTTGCTTCTAGTATGATGGTAACTTGAAGTTAATCATCCAGACTGGAAAATGAACAACTGGTTCTAAAAACAGAGGGGTCTACGTGGCACACGGGAGGGGATAAAGCTCAGTCTCCTCATGAACATCGATTCAGAAAGGAATGGACACTGTTGTGTAATTTTTCACACATGATGGGATGCGAGCAAATCCTTCATCCTAAAAAGGACAGAAACCCAGAAGGGAATGACTGGGGAGAGTGAGTCACTCGCAGCTGTTAAGAATCAGAGACCTCGAGTCCTGATTTAACGCTTTCCTTTATCCGCCCCAGCGGCCAGCGGCTCTCAGACTTCAGCTGCATCAGAACCAGCTTGTGGGGTTGTTAAAACATGCATTGCTGAGCTCCACCGTCAGGGTTTCCAGCTCAGCACATCTGGGCAGGGGCACCCTCCAGCTCAGCACATCTGGGCAGGGGCACCCTCCAGCTCAGCACATCTGGGCAGGGGCAGACAACTTACATTTCCTGCCGGCTTTCTGGTGATGCCCGTGTCGCTGCTAGGGATACTGAACCACCATGAGAAGTGCTGCTGGAGGCATACCCACTTCAGAATTGAGCTCAAGGGGCCAAGACCAGCTTATGTTCCTGGAACACCAATCCAACACTTCTTTAAAACAGGGCTTCCATGTTAACTTGCAAGGAGCACTGCTGAAAAACAGGATGGGGGGTGGGGGGTGCTGGTCAACATAACACACTATCAATCAAGTGATGTCCCCTGTTGCTCCCACAAGATTTAGCTTGGGACCAGAGCAGCGCGGGCCAAGGTTGGCCTTTCCTTGGGGAGGCGGGCAATTCATAGGTGCCAGACTAACATTTGAGACTCAAGTTCACCACTTCAAGTTATGAGCTTGTTCAAGTCAATCTTTAGCTTTTCTAAACTGTAGTTTCCTCAGGTACAAATTTACAAAAAATAATATTACTGATCTCATCAAGTTGAGAGAATTAAATGAGATAGTGTTTAGAAAGCTTTAACACCGTGGTTCATGCATACAAGGCTTCAATCATTGTTAGTGTAAGTATTGCTTAATAATACTATAACTAGCCTTATCATACCACTATTCACACCATTTTTACTACTCCCAACAAATTTTGAGGTGTTTGTCTCATTTTCAGATATTGGAAACCAAGTCACTGAGAAATTAACTCTTGCATTTCAGGGAGCTTTGAGAAGTTAGGCTCTGTGATGCAGCTGGTATCATCATCACTCTAATCCCAGACTTTTGAGTGAGATCTGATCCAGACCCTCTGGACAGCCCTCCCCCAGAATCTGGACACACTCCTTGGGATTAAAGGAGGAGGCATTATTTCTGCAGGCCCTCCTGGAGTCTCTCTCTGCCTTTTTTGGCCCACATACCACTGTATGTAGTTTGTGTCTGAAATGGAAAATTTCTGTAACACAATACCCAGCTCTGATCCCCACAGACTCTCAAGTCTCTCCCTCTCTCTCTTTTTTTTTTTCTTTTGGTTTCAGTTAAAATATGACTTCATGTGCAAAAAAAGGAGCCTCACTTCCCAGGGCTCTCAGCAGATTCATAAGCATGGCAGATTCAAAACCCTCTATTTCCTAAGAATTCTAGAGAATTGATTTCACTTTTCTGAAAAAGGAGAGACATCCATCTACATGACAAGAGAAGAGGGAAAATTAAAACTACCTCCTCTCCGGATGCAGGATGTGTCACTCCACGGGCCCGTCTTCTCCCGTGCCCCTCAGCCAGCACTCCCTGGGTGCCCCCCAAGGAGAGGCAGGAGAGCAGAGCTGCCCTTGGCTCTAAGACCTTGCCTGTAACTGGGTGTGTTGCCCAATCAGGCAATGAAAACCGAGGACTTAGAGATTTCTCTCATTGACTCACTAGTGCTTTTCTCTCCTAGAGTGCCATCTCTTCTTCAGAAACTCTGCCTAATGCAAGCCTAGACCAGCCTAAACAGGACAATGGGCTTCTGATAAGTCACTGAATGACTTACCTCTTTGACAACCTACTCTAGTCTCCAATGGCCTGCATAGGCTCTGGAGCCCAACCTTCTGGCTTAGAGTCCCAGCTCCTCCCCTTACCAGTGAATTGAGTGACTTTGGGCCGGTTTCTCAACCTCTCCATGTCTTCCTCATCCATAAATGGGGCCCGACTCTACAATGTAAGCTTACAAGGGATTAGTTATTAGATAAATTATAAAGTGTTAGGACAGTTCCTAGCACATGATGAGCTCCACATATGTTGCTATCATTACTGTCACTACTTCTACTGCTAGTAAACAAACAATTATGGCTATATTTGCTCAAGAAAACATAATGCCTAAATAGGAAGCAGTTTGGTGTTCTGGTAACAGCACAATTTTAGAATCAGACAAATCTGATTTGACCACTAACATTGCTACTTAAGTTGTGCGATCTTGGGCAAGTTATAAACATCTTGGAAATCCAACTTTCTGTTTATAAAATAAAGATGGATAATAACACCTACCTCAAAGTGTTACTGCGAGGATTCAGTGAAGTCATGTTTGGGAAGCTCTTGGCCTGGTTGGTATCCAGGAAACAGTAGTTTTTATAAATGGGAAACTGGTCACATGGAAACTGAGCAAAGAAATCCATTAACTCCTGTAACCACTTGCAACCACCCTAGTCCGTACAACTGACCAAAATAACTCCAACAGCTAAGAGTTTTACTACATAATATATAAAGTCAAAGAATGCAGAGTAAAATAGTCTTCTATACATTTTTCTGTGTCTGGTGTTAAACTTGGTTAGCAGTCTGGACTTAGAAATTACTCATCACTCCCAACTCCTAACTCCAACGTAGCCTCTCTTCTTTGTCAATCCCATCTTTGTCCTTGCTTCCCAGGTAGCTCAGTGGTGAAGAATCCACCTGCAATGCCAGAGACGCAGGAGATGTGGGTTCAGTCCCTGGGTCGGGAAGATCCCCTAGAGAAGAGAATGGCAACCCACTCCAGTATTCTTGCCTGGAAAATCCCGTGGACAGAGGAGCCTGGTGGACAGCTATAGTCCACGGGCTCGCAAAGAGTTGGACACAACAGCGCGCACAGGCACGCACGCACACGGACGCACGCACGCACACGCACACACACACGCACACACGCACGCACACACGCGCACACACACACACACACACACACACACACGCTGATATGGAATTCTGCCAGGTTTTCTAAGGGCACCATGATGAAAGTACTCCCCAACCCTCAGTTTTCAACCTCCAGATGATGTTAACTTCTATGAGTTGAAATGAAGGTACTCGAAGCATCCCAAGCAGGGCAGTAGCATCGTTCGGCTCCAGGGGGCGCGACTCCCACCACAGTGCGTTAAAACTGTGCTCCAGGGGCCCCTTTAACAGGGAAAACAACAGAGGGGCGCCTCCCAGAGCTGTGCAACAAGATAACTGGGATCCCAAAGAGCAGGAAACAAAGCCCGCTTGCTCAGACTTGAACCCTAACTCCCCTTACTTTTCATGAGTCAGATTCAGTCTTCCAAGCCTTACATTGTCCTGGCTGTGTGAGAACGTGTTAATCCCTGGGTGATATAATCCAGAGGAGGGCTTGCAGAATCACCGACTGAAAAGCCTACACAGGGCATCAAACCAACACCCTCCAGGGTCCAGGGGAACGAGACAGAGGATGGAGGAAATACGCAGGCACCAAGCGTCCTCGCCCCGGCTCCCTCCGCCAGCGCCTGTGGGTGAAGTGCCCTAAACTGACCGATGGATTAGACCTGAGGTGGCGGGAGAAAGCGGTGATGCTGGCACTCAGGGTGCAGTGAGCAAAAATCCCGGATGAATCCAAACACCAGTGAAGGAAGATAACGCGAAGTCATGGCTCCAGGAGCCCTGATAAAGTGGCTGCTTTCATGCTTTTATACTTTCCCTTCCCCCAGCTTATTCACTTCTTCCACAACAGTATTACAGACAGAGCTCTTCAGAGCTAAAAGTCATCCACAAAATATTCTGGTCCTAAAGCCCTCACTCTTCAAACGAGAAAATGAGTCCCAGACGTCAGGTAGTACAAACCATCCAGGAAAGACGATTGATCTAGAAATCACTTAACGCCTTCAGCTGCCTTTAACATGAGAAAGAAATGTATTCAGGTCGGAGTAAGTGATTTTGTAAACTCTGGTATATAGATAAAGAAGCTACAGTTGTAATTTCAGAGGGTTCACAGAGCCTCTGCAGGGCCCTATTTAACATCTGCTCTAGAAAAGCTTGTGAAATGTGGAATACTCCAGCCTGGACGAATGCACCGTTTTCCCAACTTGGCATAAACTAAGGCAAGGCATTCTTTTATTTGGCAAACCCATACTGGGTTCTTACTAGGCATGAGGGGCTGCAGGGGCACCGATATCCTTGGGGTATTAAAGCAAAGACATCCCTTCAGTGCATTGTATCAACTAAGAAAGTCACCTCACTAAGGCATCTGATCTCAAAGTCCTTATTTGGTTATTCTGGTCAGATTAGAATAGTGGTCACCTTGATTTGAGACAGGGAATCATGAACAAAAAAATGAAGAGATTTTTTTATTTCTAAAGCATTTTTTAAATGAAGCATAGATGAGTTATAATATCATGTTAGTTTCAGGAGTGCAGCACAGTGCTTTATATATATATATTATATACTTACATATGTTACATATATTCTTTTTCAGATTCTTTTCCCTTGTAGGTTATTGTAAAATATTTCAGGTAATTCGGTGTATTATACACAGGGAACTTTCCCCAGGTCTATGAAGGTGGGATTTTCCTCAGGACTTGACGCACCAAAGGATTTGGGTGCAGATAAGTGGAGGAAAGCTGTGTTCAGTTTGGGATAAAGCACGATTCCTCATACTTCTGGTCTCATGGTCTGAACCCCTCATGCCAGTGAAAGGGTACCTGCAAAAACTTGCTGTTTTTCCACATTGACCTCTTGCAGATTGTTGCTACTAAACCAGCGAATCAAAATATTACTGGTGACAGAACTCAAGACCGAAAACAGGCCTTTTCACTGTGAGCAGAGGGTTTTTGTCTTTTGTTTGTTTTGTTCTAAATTCTTGCAGTAAAGGGTTTAAATCACTCTACCAGTTTATGGTCGGTGAAACATGAAAAACTTACTTTCCTTATCTGAAAGTGTAGAAGATAATTGTGACTTCATTTAGCTGCTGTCAGGTTAAATAAGATGTAAAGTGCTCAGAATTATGTCTGGCACAGTGGACGCTTGGCAAATGGTAACCAGTGTGATTACCCTTGATCCCATTCTCAATAGCTCTACCCTTAGCTACTGTCACAGGTCCACTGCTTTACCAGCAATGGGAAATATCTGTCTTGTTGTAGCTGCTGTTCTCCACAATATCATTTTTTACAATGTCGCTGCCAATTTGTCTGGAGAGGTTTTAATTTCTGTAATGCGTTAGGCTTGATTTTCTAAGCTCCAGGTTGAGAGGTACGTGAGTTGAGTCTCACAGAGGAAGCAGGTAGGATTTACGGGGCTGGGATGCGCTAAAGGCTGAGGTGCTGTGTGTTAGTCTGTCAGTCATGTCCTGCTCTCTGCAACCCCACAGTCTGCAGCCCACCAGGCTCCTCTGCCCACAGAATTCTCCAGCAAGAACACTGGAGTGGGTAGCCATTCCCTTCTCCAGGGGATCTTCCCGATCCAAGGATGGAACTCAGGTCTCCTGGGGCAGGCAGGTTCTTTACTCTCTGAGCCACCAGGGGAGCCCCACAGGGTGGAGATTGGAAGGTAGATTAGAAAAGAGAATCGGAAAGAGAGATAACGGATCTGATGCGAAGTGCCCAAAAGAAAATTAAGAAAAAACAAGAGCAGAGAGCAGCGAGTGAGTATACTTTTCCCTTATAGAAAGGACTTAAGAAATAAATTTTTACTAACCTGAGTAATGTACAAGCAAGTTACATCATTTAGTTTTAGGGGATCATGACTGGAAACTGGGTTGCTATGGCGCAGAATTACAAAGTGATGATATTTGTTGAGGAGAACTAGGAGATTTTAACATAAAATCCTGTTGAGGGGGAGAAATTGGGGGAAAGGCTAGTTAGGGAGTTGGGGATGGCCATGTACACACTGCTATATTTAAAATAAATAACCAACAAGGGCCTACTGTATGGCACAGGGAACTCTGCTCAATATTATGTAACAACCTAAATGGGGAAGTAATTTGAAAAAGAACAGATACATGTATAACTGAATAATTTTACTCTACACCTGAAACTATCACAATGCTGTTAATAAACTATGCCCCAATATAAAATAAACAGTTTTTTAAAAAGCCAACCCTGTTGAGTCAACCTGAGTTCAATAGCTAAGTTACCTATGTGTATATATAGTTTGTAACAAATGTTTTTCTGCATTGAAGTCAGATTATTTTCTGTAAATGGCAGGCTAAGCTTATGATGCATTTGCAGACAAAGACAGTGTAAGGGGCAGTTGGTGAGAGTCTGGTGCTAAAAAGATGACCTGAAGAGGACCCTTCCCTCTCTTAGACTAACCGCTGCCCCATGGATGAAAACAGTGAAACTCACCAGCCACAAGAATTCAGGGACAGTGGAGGAGATCTGGAGGGCGGCAAGTCTGCCCACCAGCCAGCCAGTCAGTCCCCACCCTCACCCTCTGATCCAGCCACAAATACATGAATTACTGCCACAGCAATGTCAAGGGCCCCTTGCTGAATAAAGGGCCATACAACTGCTGGGGATTCAAATGTCTTCCTGCAAACCTTCATCACTCCAAACCGCCTGTGTTCCTCGAGTTTGCTCTGCCTTGCCCGCTTATTTTGCATCGTTGAGCTGGACCTACGTGCAGAGATCCTCAGAGACAAGGCTCAGACTCGTGTCTGGAATGCTTCAGCATACCATCCAGCTAACTCCCACTCTCATATTGCCAGAGGAAGAGATTCACAAAACGCCTGTGGAGCCCTCTGGCCGCTGATGAGCAATGTCTTGAGTCTTTAATTATGGACCAATGAAAACAATGCCTTCAGTGAACGGCTGCCTCCCTTTCACCTCTGACCCGAGATCAGACATGCAGCCGTGAGCGTTGCCAGATGGAAATTGTTAGTGAAGAGCCAATGTAACAGGACTGTTATTTATGACCTAAGGGCAGCATTCATCAGTATCCCTGTGGCTTTGACTTCTGTTTAGTGAGTAAGTGACCTCAGTATTGTGTGTGAAACCCTATGTGTTTGGATGTGGCTTGCTCTGTGGGAGCGAGAGATGTATTCCCTTTAAGTTCCTTTAAGCACCTAAGTCAAAAGGAGGATGGGGAAGCCAGTCCAAATTATTAGAGCCTGATGGTATCTGAAGGAACCCAAGGTCCAAATAAACATTTCCACTTCAGTCCAAAGCCTTCCTTGGTCAAGCTGTCAGACTCCATCCTCTCCCCATATTACAACACCCCAGAGATTATAAGGCCAAGCTCTTTGGCCTCACAAGCCACTGCCCGATTTCATCATCTGTTTTTACCCCAACCTGAATATTTTGTAGCTTTAGATCACGCTTTTGTTGGAGTCTCATCAATATATCCCCAAATAACAGAGCCGAAGGGCCGATGGCATGCTGAAGCACGTTCAAGCACGTTCAAGGGACCGGGATGTTAGAGAGTTGGCTTCCTCGTGTCCGAGATGTCCCAGGTTGAAAAGTGCGCCTGTGAAAATGGTATACATGCTCTTAGGACCCTAGTTGTGCATCACTGTCTATAATCTGTTGCTTTAGAAAGTTTCCCTCCAACCCTCTGTGTGTTGTTCCATCTCAAAGCTGTGTGATCTTTAGCTTCTCTGTTCAGTGTTTGGGCAGATGGGTGAGAATTGATGAAACACAGATGGTTTAGCAAGACGGAGATTAAGAATCCTGCTGGGCTGAGTATATTTGGTGATTGCCACGGTATCTCAGCAGTTCGAAGATAAATTCACCCATAAAAATCTATTGTTGAATTTTACTTACTTTATCTTTTAGCCTCTCATATAATTCCACAAAATTTACTTCATTTTCCAGTACTCCTATGCAGTATTTCAGAGAAAGGAGCAGAGTCATCAGTTCATAAATGGAAAACTGAGGTAATGAGGACAGGCCAGAGACACATGCTGAAAATCACTGGTTGTGGCCAGAGGCCCACGTTTCCCTCAGCAGAAGGTGCTTCCTCTGGAAAAGTTTCCCATTACATCATCAATGTATTTTTCCAGATAGCAGGCTCCTTTGGGATGTAGAAAGTCTGTCTGGGGAAGCATTTATCACCTCTCAGCAAGTATTTAGATCTTTGTTTGCACATTACGTTTTCTCTGACTTTCCCAGTGTGTGCATTTATGTGTAGGTAACCTTTTCCTCAGTGAGTACCAATTAGTAAGACTTTGTGAATTTAGTTTGACACTTATTTGTTATTATTTTTTAATGCAAATATAAAATGGCTGTCCTCTGAGACTCTGTGACCCTAACACTATATTTTCTTTCCAGAAATAACAAATCTTTAGGCTCAGGCACACCACACACACACACACCGGGTTATATGAGTAAGACTAAAGGAACACATTTAGGAAAATGCTTTAGAGCAGCGGTCACCAGCTTTTCGGCACCGGGGACTGGTTTCACGGAAGACAGTTTTCCCACAGACTAGGGCAGGGCTTAGAGAAGAGATGGTTTCAGGGTGATTCAAGCCCATTGCATTTATCACGTACTTTATTTCTATTATCATTACACAGGCTCCACCTCAGATCATCAGGCATTAAATGCCAGAGGTTGAGAACCCTGCCGTAGAATGTACAAAATACTTTAGCTTCTGCTGTTCTAGAACTGCAACGAAAGGGCTCATGTTACTGTACCCATCTCAAGAGTGGAAAAGCTTATTCAGAGATATGAAGTGACTTGCCAATATTACATGGTTCATATATCATAAAGGTGGGATTGGAAACCAGGAGTGAAAATCTGACATCTCAGTGCTCTAAGTCTCCACCTGGAAGATGAGCAGAAGGAAGCAGTGATAAAAATCCTAGTCCCCATGGGCTAGTCAAGGATCTGATGGCCCAAAATCTATGATATTATTATTGTTATCATTCAAAAGGAGACTGGTCAGAAGAAAGTCTTTTTCAATGTGATATTGGAAAGTTCTGTAAGTTGCATTTTCAAAAGGATCTAATGTTATGTTTCTGATATATTTTTTAAAAAATAAATTTTCTTTATACTTTTTGAGGTAAAATAATTTTTAAAGGGGAAAAGAGAAGTAGAAGGAAGACAAGAGGGAGAAAAGAAAAACCCTTGAAAGGATGTAGCATCGAAATGGCAAAGGCTACACGTTTCTGTGACTATGGGTTCACTCCCAAAGCTGGAGGGCTTTTTACAGCTCTGTTCCCTGGGCTGATAAATGCCAAGATCAGCCTGGTCTCTCTAGACACTGAGAATGACATGCTTCTTACAAAGTTTGTGCCAGGGACCCAGCCAAGTCTAAACTCTCGTTTTCATTTGCATTAGCATTTTTCTTGGTTCAAATTCACAGGTAAAATTCCCCCCAGGGGATTTTTCAGGTTGGTTTTTTTGTTCAACGGGTTCCCTCCTCCTTGAGAACTAACTTGTTTGCTTTCTGTGTCCACATGCTTCAGGGACAGGGAGGGTTTCATAAATGAAACACCACCCAGACCACCTCCCTCTCACTCTCTTCAGAGGCCCCGCAGCTCTGTCTCCTGAAGGAGGGCTGGGGTGTGTGAGGAATGCACTTTGGGTTTTCTCCGCAGAGAGATGGGGCCAAGGTCCCCTCCTCTATCCACTCCCACTCCTGCAAATCAAACACTTCTGATTCCCAGAGTGTTTTTCCTGGGTTTAAGCATAGAAGCAAGCAATGCAGCAAATGGGTAAGAAGCTATCTTTTTTGCTGCAAGAGTTGAATTTGTAAAGGTCTGAGAAGAATCCTTGGTGAAAGAGACCAGGGAAATTCAATATTCTCGACAACATCGTTCAAAGTACAGTCTGAGAACTACTTTTAGCAGGATCACCTACAAAACTTGTTAATAAAAATTAACAAGGTTTCCTAGGCTCTGCTCCAAAGCAGCATAATCAAAGATTCTTGGCGTGGGAGCTCAGGAACCTCATTTTTATCGAGTTCCCAGTTGCCTTCAATGAGCATTAACGCATGAGACCAAACGCACAGGAGAACAGTCACGGGTGCTGGGGGCTCCCCAAAGTCAGGAAAGTCAGCCTCTCCAGGAAGCTGGCTTTCAGGTAGGGTTCTCCCTGACTCCTGAGATCTCTGCGAAGTGTGCTTCCGCGCCTTTGTGTTTCCTGCCACAACTGGAAATCGTCTCGCCGTTGGATTGCCGTGATTCGTTTACTTGAATTTCTCTTTCAGGCAGAGACAGTAACATTATCTTTATGTCTTTATATATCCTTTGCTTGGCAGAATACCTGCTTAATAAGCCTTTGTTGATTAAACAAATAAACTTAATTGCTTTACCAATCAGGAAATTAGCATGCAAAGGGTTTATGCTTCTTCTCAATAAGTTATTGGATACTACAGAACAGATTTTCTAGCAGACCAAGTCTAGTCGGACTTTTAACTTTATTCCTAACATCCCATAGCAGATGCTGCCACCAGCATCTCTCGAGTTAGAAACTTGTTTACGTGCCCCCTTTCCTTTCCCACTTCTCACTGGAAAAGCTGTGCTGATTCTGGGTGACTCAAAGGAGCCAAACTGGCTTAGCTAGAGAAAAAGTTGCCAGTGGCATTTAGCTCATATATACAGTCATCCTTAAGTATCCCCAGAAGGTCTGGTTCCAAGTTCCCCTCAGATACCAAAATCCATGGATGCTCAAGTTCTTTTTTTAAAACGGTATTGTATTTGCACATCACCCACACATATCCTCCTATGTATATTAAATCATCTCTGGATTAGTCATCAGACCTGCTGCTGCTGCTGCTAAGTCGCTTCAGTCGTGTCCGACTCCGTGTGACCCCGTAGACGGCAGCCCACCAGGCTCCCCCGTTCCTGGGCTCCTCCAGGCAAGAGCGCTGGAG